TTACCACTGTACGTACTTCGGTTTTCCTTTTTTGGACAATAAGAACATATTGCCTTTTCACTTTTACCGGGTCCCGTTTCTGGGCTTGAAATGACTCCACTAAATCGTCTAATTTGTTGTTTTAGAGCAACAGATAATGTTGGTATACTTTGGCGGCACGATCGTCGGCTGTTGTCGGTGGCACGATCGCCGCCGCCGCCGATCATACAGGGAATTCAATTAACAACGTTTATATACTGTAATAATTACGTACAACAATTGTTGAACACATACCAAAAATGCGTGTGTACAAAAACGTTTCCACTCGTTACATTTATTATTTTTCATATACAAACTGGTATTTTTACCATACAATTTATAGATAGGTTAGGATGGATATACATACAAAGCACAACATTTGCTTAGTAGACAATTTTTTTTTGTATTCATGCACATTATTAACAATACGTGAAAAAAAAGGAAAATTAAAATAAAACAAAAAAATTAATATTACTAATTTGATTCTTCAGAACCCGAAGACGTATTCCCAATGGTCAGTACTGTGGGTTGTAACTCTGCGCTCAACATGTCGTCAATGATAAAATCGATATCATAAAATTTGTTTTCCACTGTTTTTGTGTGAGAAATGAAATTTTTCCACATGGTATCGTCAACTCTTTCAATGCCTTCCATCAACAATGTCTTTACGTCACTTAATTGTGTTATCTATCCAGGTCTTGCTCGTACAGTCACCTGCGTTGACCCATGTCTCGTCGAGATAATACAAATGCCGTCCTTTTTCACGATATGGTTTAATATTCTGCAAATATCGTCTGCGCCATAAAATAATTTCGCCCTTTTCAATAAGGGCACTATTCCGATTTCGTTTAGTGTAGACGAAGACCATAAATTTTAAAACATTATATAGGTTTGACCGTGAAATATCTGGAAGACTGTCGTCGTTCTTTATAACTGATAACTGGTCTGCAAAAAAAAATTTTTTTTCTCCTTATTAATTTCATGCATGATAACATCATATTTGGTGCTCTAAACACGGAATATAACATACAAATAAATACAGCACATAGATTTTGAATATCATGTCTATTTAATCAAAAAACAATATCATCAAAGTAACAACAAATATAAAAAAGTGAAAGAAGACTACGGTCTAAGTTTTACAGTGAAAAATGCTAATTTTACAGTCACAAGTTATAGAAATATCAGTATATTTATCTCATTATGGTAATATAATTCAAATTTTTTTTTAGTTTTTTTCCTTTTCATCGTTTCCATCGAAGTTTCTCGGCGAATCGACCAACACAAATCAGCAAGCATTGCGGCTGACCATTTTCCATTGTAGCGTCTTTCAATATGCATAATATCCTGATGAAACTTTTCACCATGCTCATCTGGTACGGCACCAAGATTTTCCGGAAAGAAATCTACATGAGAGTCCAAAAAATGAATTTTGTGGTCGCAGAACAATTTTTTCACTTGGCACTAGAGGTTCTTGAGATGCATTTTTAAGTCCAGGTGTCAAGCTTTTCTTTGTGGCCAAGTCTTTACTTTGTAATGTTTGTCTCTCGCGCGACTGTCCCACTCACAAAAAAAATAGCAAAACTTGGTGCATCCTCCTTGCAATCCAGTAAGTATAGCGACAACTTATAAGTCAGCACAAATATTCCATAGGTATTGAGAATATTTTATTTTTTCAAGTAATACCTCCAGATTTACATAATTTTCTTTCATATTTGTTGCATGTGCTAGAGGCACTGATGGGTATTTATTTCCATTGTGAAGTAAAACGGCTTTCAAACTTATCTTCGACGCATCAATAAAAAGTCTTCATTCATCAGAATTTTCTGGAAAACTCAGTTCTTCAGGAAGCCCTGCAGCATCATTACAATATACTAAATCATTTTCTTTGGAAAAGTAACTCGTAAAATCTTCTTGTCTTGTGCGAAAATATGAGACTCTCGTACTTTTATCCAACAAATTCCATTGTTTCAATCTTGATCCGAGTAATTGAGCCTTAGATTTTGATAACCCCAAGTCTCTAACGAGATCATTCAAATCAGGTTGTTTAAGAAGATATGGTTCTTTTGATGGACTTGAAGATCCAGATAAAGTGTATGATCGCGAAAGATGGACAGGTAGAAACGAAACTCGATTGAGGCTGTAGACCAGAAGTATTTTTATTTTCCATCTTCAGGCTATTTTTTGGAGGTACTGGAGGTAAACTGCCTTCACCAGGAGGAAGTGGTCTCTTTGCAGATGCGATGTTCGGATATACAATCTTGTTTTTATTTTTTTTTGAGAATCCTCGTGTTGATGTCATGCAGAAATAACAGTCATTTTCAAGATTCTGAGGTTCACTCTAAAGCATTGGCATCGTAAACGGCATAGATTTATGACTTCCTCAAACCAACCTCTCAACGTTCTTGAACAACTATTACAGCAAATTTTTGGTAACCAACTTTTATCCCTCTCATCGATAGAAAATCCAAAATAAAGTTGATAAGCTTTATTAACAAGATCTGTTATCGCATTTCACTGTGTTTTTAGAGTAAACTCACCACAAATGCAGCAAAAACAGTCTTACAAGTGCGCGGCATTTTATAACCTAAAATTAAATGAAATTCATTTAAAAAATTTTTTTTAAATTTCTATTTTATATTTCTTATCACTGTTCATAAAGAAATGGATAAACTACACATAAAATACTTAAAATATATATATATTATATATATAATAAATATGAATTTTGTGCAAAACTTACTGAAGTATTTGATATAGAACGTAAACATTAAAAAGACAAGTTTTCAACTAATTGTTGTAAAGTCACAGTGAATAATGCGCAGGCGCATATGTACTACTATAGAAATCACTTTCGGCACTTTCCTTCTTTCTCTTACGACTAGCAAAAACCTATTTCGTATGTATATACATTGTTTTTAATGTTTACGCATAAAACGAATTTAACCCTTCAATGCGCAATTTTTTTTCCATTAAATTAATAATGACAATTTTTCCAAAGATATGTTACTGTTACCATGTTCCTCTCATAATAGTCAATAAACAAATGATATTGAAATAAAAAATAAAAAAGTACATATTTAATCCGTTAGAGTGCAGTAGACGTATTATACGTAATATTATAGACAGAATAAATGGATAAAAGAATGTTACAAGTATGTCACGTTGCATATTGAAGGGTTTAAAAACCTAAATTTATGATGATTTAGAAAAAAATTCATATCGAAAAATCTAGACGTGATAGAAAAAATCGAGAACAGATTCAGAGCATCAAAATCTTTATATTTATGACATAATTTTTTGAAAGAGGATTTTGTTGCAGACCAGTGTAGTATTTTATCAAGTGTCGGAATAGTTTTGTTAAACCAAAAGGAATGGACATGTCGACGAATCGTATTTAGTTGTACATCATCATATAGATCTTTATATGATTTCTTTTGTCGAGTTTTGCACGGAGAAGTCACAGTCTTTTTGGTATTGTACTCACTAATCATGTTTGAAACCGTCCTATGACCGATACCAAGGGTTTTTGAAATAATGATCCGACATTCTCGAATAGTTATATTCGGATTTTTCATCAATTCTGATTTATACGCATTCACTATCATAAACTGTCGATCAGATGAAACATACTGGAATAAAATATGAAAAGAACTATGTTACACAATGTTTACAATAATGTATTAAAACCGTTTTAAACATGTAAAAAAACGTGTTTTTACAAAAGGTTTAAGAGGATGTCAGCGTGCTATTTGTTTTCTCTGTAAGGCCAACGCGCACATAGACAAAACATATTTGAGCAGAATCATTTTTTCTATGTATATAAGTAATCTTAGAGTAAAATCACCAAGTACAAAAAAAGATAAAAAAATAATATTTTTGAGGGAATGACATATCGATATTATATTTTATTGTTATTTGACTTTGTATTCGACTTTCAAAATAATGAAAAAAATGTTTTTAATTTAAATGATCTTTAAATTGTTTTGAGACAATATTTAGACAAATCGATTTGTCATTCCCTCAAAAAAATATTTTCTATACTCTTAATGAATTGATTTTAGGTACTAACCTTTCCGCTTGGATTTTTCTTTATCGGAGAAACAACTGACGCATTGTCCATGTTCATAATAATCAGTAAAAACACGCAAATTGCAAATTTAATTAACACAATACAAATGTAGGCGAGCGAACAACAAAAATACGTGTTAACGCGTGTTACGTTTAAAACATTGTGACAACACAGTTCACACTGTATAGTCAACAGCTGGTCAACCGCAGCCGATTCCGTCGGCGGCAGCGCTGCCTATGCGTGAGTTTCGACCGGTTTTCGTCCGCCGCCCGGTGCGCTCTTAGTCTGGACAGAGTATAGTGCAGTGCTTAAAGGTAGGTTTATTAATTAATTTTTGGAGTCTCTGAGGGTTAGACACGAGTTCAATTTTAATAGGCTTCCACATCGATTCCATCGTTTTACCTATAATATATAAGGTTGAGTAAATCATAATATTAATTTAATCAATTTTTTTTAAAAAAGCTATATTGTTACCAAATACAGCGTTGTTCATCAACTTGAAAAACTTTTTTTTGAAAATCATTAGTTGCACATTTACGTTTTTGAGTGTTAAGATCTATATAAGAAGCGAGCCAAGGTGATTGACGAAATTGTAAAACTCTATGCACCTACATTATTCATAATATACTTTATAATTTATTATTATTATAGCAATATTTTGAAATATATGTTTACCTTCTCAACCTTTAAGCCATTCGCAATCGCTTGTTTTAAATTCATATAATAATTACGTATTTTTTTTTATCTTCGAGTGTGGCCAACAGTTTTTTCGTTTTTGAATTTGGAGGACATTTGAGCTCAGGAAGGAATAGATATTCGTTATGTTCATCATGTAGAGTTGACGGATAAGCTATATCAACTTCGAAAATCATACCTGTTTCAGACTGTTCCGTCATCGAGTCCAAACCCTTCAGTGCTTCTTCCCCGCTTCCGGTGTACCACTGAAAGCTTCCAGACGGCATATCATTGCATATCCATACAAATTTGTTGCATCTTGGTAAATTAACCATGTGTTCGGCTTGTCGGGATTGTAACCAGGTGTCTTAGGATTATTAGCTTTAGCCCAGCGTGTACAGGCCTGTACGAGGCCGCCGCAGGTTCCATTTTCAATTAGCAGTACCATTTCATAGTCATTTAAAAGATCCAAATGCACCATGCTATGTTTTAACATAGCGTCGAAACTTAATCCAGGGCTCGTAAAGTAGAATACTGCATCCAAGTTGTACGTGTTCATACATAAATTACGAAATTGTTCAAATACATCGGTAAGAGCCATTATGTCGATTTTCATGTAAATATTACTACTCCCCGAAGGTTTTACATTGAAAATGATTCCAAACTTGTACTGCATGTTCGTAATCTTGTATGCTAATATGTTCACCTGTGAGCGAGTTGAACTGTTCACGTGCTGGCAAACTGGTGACCTCAAAATTTGACCACTCGTCGACGAAAGAATAGGGAAAAACTCCTTTTTTGGTCATTAATGGTATGTCTTTGGAGCAAAACACTTTGGCTGTCTTTTGAAAATTCGAAAGACCGGCTTTGGCAAGATCTGTGGTCAATGCAGATAGACTACTTGGTGTAAAACGACAGCTATCGAGAAATCTAATCGAAAAATTATTTTTTATATACTTTGTGAAGGCTATATATTTTTTTTCGCTGGTTGGTATTATATTGATAGGTTAATCATCATACCCTAGTTGTGTGACGATAAAATGTGCATCATAATGGCTTAAACTGTGAAAGAACACCGGTATAAAGTTAGGTGTACGAAGCTTAAGATTGCATGTGTTGAATTTTCCACATAAATGGTCGTGATCAGCTATTTTTTGGTTGGACTGTGTAAAACTACAATGACAAATTTCACAACATGTAGCGACTGCATGCCTCTGAGCTTCAGTGTCGGTAAATTTTATTGGTGTATTCGTCTGAAGTAGTGCACTTATGTTTGTAGCTACTTCAACAATTGCCTCCACAAAGCGTTTTGCTACTTCTTCAGAATTGATTGTTTGTGATCCACAAAACCATATGGGCGTTAGAGGGATACTATACTGTTTTAAAATGTCTATAAGTATATTGTCTGCAGCCTTTACAAAAAATCCATAAGACATTAATTTATGTTCCTCAACAATATTAGTATTTCCACTTTTGCTGTCTGAAATATCTGGTTTTATTAAAAGTGCTTCGAAATCGGCATATATCACAAACGGATGTCTAACTGTTTTGCCCCACGCATCAAATTTTAAAACTGAGCCTGCTTCGGGCATTACCGGTAAAATAGTTTTATGAGTATTGCAAATTTTAGCATGTTGGTCAAGCGCCTCTTGACCCGATAGTTTATTTAGTTTTGTACAAATATCGAACCCGGTAAAACATTTTTTACAAAAAACCATATTGCTGTGGTTTTTTATTTTTTGACTATGGATTAGTCTCACGAAATTTGTAATATATGTATAGTGACTCAAATCAGAAGTCTCATCTTCTACGAGCAGTAAATCATAATGGTTAGGTTTTTCCGTATCTGATACACGTAGTGGATAAATATAGTGTGCGGGTTGAATTTAGTGTGCCCCGGCTGTGTTTCCAACCTATAGACGTTTATGGAAACCGTTGGATTATCAGACTTGAAGGTTTTGATACTTTTAAGTGGTGTTGGATAAATGATTCTATAAAAATTATATATTTTGTTTTCTAATTTTCTATAGTTTTCACCAACGTGATTTTTTTTCCCCGAAGACACCTGTCTCGCTAAAATAGCCCATTTAAAACATTCATTGCCCGATTTGCTTATAGGGTTTAGTACAGCCTTTTTTCTCTCGATATCTGACGGTAGATATATGCGAGATGATACTCACAGCGGAGTAAAATCTTACACACCCAAAAGTAGTCCATCTATAGTTTCAAGTGAATATCCAGAGCCCTAGCTAGTATACTCATCTTCCTCTTCAAGGAGCTTTTTAAAGTCATCGAGAACAGCAGTGTTCAAGTCACTCGGTGAATAAAGCTCTCTAGCAGATGTTTTAAAAGCACGTTTTTCAGAAGTTTTATCTTGCTGTGGTATACTGTAAGTTACTTCTAGTTTTAAATTGTATTTAATTGGATGAATTGAAACCATTGAATTTAGAATATTTGTTATTTGCGGCTTCGAGTTATTTAAAAATTCAGTATAATCAACCGCATGGTTCATATTTTTTTTATAAAACCATTTAATTTTTCCTTTTAACGTTGACTCAATATGAATAAAATTATCTTGACCCGCAGCGGCCGCGGCTGACAAACGAGATGCTTTTTTTCGTTTATTTCCAACTGTATTTTTATTATAACAACCGCTCTCAGTAGAATTATCTAACAATCCCCCGTCATCAGTAGACCTTATTTTATTAACCGACTGCATCGGTGGATTATCCGTTGTACAACCTACACCTGTTGATATATATATATATATATATATATATATATATATATATATATTTTATAAATATATCTATAGTAATAAAAACAAGTCTAACCGCTGTGTGGGTCATCAATTTGTCGCCGTGTAAAAAAAGAGCTGCTTCTCGATGGTTCATCAATTTGTCGCGGTGTAAAAAAAGAGCTGCTACACGATGGTTCATCAATTTGTTGCGGTGTTAAAAAAGGGCTGCTAGCCGAAGCGTTTGAAGGAATAGATTTTATCACACTCGGTTTTTGTTGACACTGAGTAGAATCTACTTAAGATATATGAACATAAATATAAGAGTACATACAACCACATAAATTATTATGTTAACTTTTTATAAAAAAATAATATAGCGGAATATTATGTTTTTTTTTAATTTAATTTTTTGTTTCTACTCACATACACTTGTAATAATCCGGTAATAGCATCAGTAAAATTAATTCCATTTTTAACAAGGTCTATAATAAATAATAATATAAATTGTTTTTTTTACGTCTTTCGATTCTATAGTCTATTTTTTTTCAAATAATTACTGTTAAAATGCTTTACTTACGATGCACAGTTCTCACATTACGCAGCAAATTTGATTTCTGGCTGAAATTTCTATTACCGGCGTAGCAAGGAAATGTTATGTTAACGTGTTTTAAACCATGTCTGTTTAAATTGGATTTGTTTGCACAAGATTGTGTACAAGAAAACATGATGACTTTTAAATATTACAGTTAATATTAATCGAAATAATAAAATTTTGCAAAATAATATAAATTTTTCAAAAAAAACTATTAAAAACGGATGAGATACATATGAACGTATCAACACTGATTAGCATACGACTGGCTAAACCATATAGAAAATTGACGTACACAGGACACTAGATTTCTTTTTTTAGAAAGTTGGTCCTTTCATATAATTATAACAAGATGAGAGGAGGGAAATAGTTGTTTGAATAATTTCTTAAGAAATAAATTATTTTGTCTCTGAGTAAAACAACAATATTTTGTTTTATTTTTGTATACAATTATAGTAGTATATAGTTGACATAATATGAGTTTTGTCTTTTAATATAATAACGAGATATTTTTTTTAAATATCCTATTAATAAATATTTTAATTATTTAAATACATAATACTTTCCGTTATCTACAATGCCATCACATACGTTATTAATATTACTAAAAATACATAATTCACAACTGAAATCTACACCTGGCACGGTTTTTGGTGATATATTAATTTTATCTTTACGTTTGTGGACCTGTCAATAATAATAATACTTGGTATTAGTACAACGACTATTTGGTTAAAATATTATGATAATATAAAAATGATATTAACCTCTATTTCGGAATATTTAAGTCCCAGCCAGTTGTTAGCGAAAGATCTTGCAGCGAATAAAATAAGTTGGTGGATATAATCTGGCTTATTTTTCGAGATTAGGTTAGAAATCGTATTTTGATCAGTTTTTTGTGTGTATGATATCATTTTATCGCTGTGGAAACCCATTTTTTCCCTCCACTGTTTGTCCAAATACTTAACAAATATTTCCAGCTCAAGGGCGTCCGCAGGAATTTTTCAAGGGGGGGGGCAATACATTTTAAATTTTTTAGTTCATTTTCCAATTAGTGCTAAATTATGGGTTTTAAAATGAATTTCTTTCATAAATATAGGTAATCTAATAACGCCAAAATGATTAATGATTTATTAATTATGTATAGAAAATTATTTAAAATTTTATCTTACAGATGACAATGATTGTTATTATTATTTATTTACATTAAATGTTACTAACTATTGTTTGCATAATTTTTAATTACTTATAGGACTTAAGCGAAAAAATTGTTGTATAATTGATTTGATGGTACCAGCACAGTTTTGAACATACTGAAGTTTATTCAAGTCATTAATTACTAAATTCAGTCTATGTGATGAACAATGTACGAATACAGCCTTAGGAAACTCATTTTTAATAATTCCTTGGACACCATTATAAATACCTGACATAGCACTGCAACCATCATATCGTTGTCCTACCAAATTTTTAAATTAAGAGCGGAATTTCTTAAAAAAATCTATTATAGATTTTGCTACAACTTTAGCATGCATATCTGTTAAACCGATCTGTTTGACCGGAGGGGTACAGGGGGAGTGAAAGTGAGGACTAGATATAGGCCGGGGGGTAGAGGGGAAGTGAAAGTGAGGATTTTAGCCCTCAGCAGAACAAACCAATTCCCTCTACACATTATCTTATAATGGCAACGTTAAACCTTCAAGGCCTGTTAATAATAAGCTTACGTAAAAAAACAGATAAAATAATTTAATTTATTTTTATTTTTGTCAGCTTCTACTTTTTATTAGCTACTGTGGTGACAAACGTAAACTGCCTAAAAATTGTTACATAATATTATGGACACGGTGCACATGCATCATGCATTAGGGCAACGAATATCACCATTTTAAAATTCGTCAGTTTGTCACACTATACGGATTTTTCACATGCAGTTCGCGTGAAAAGAGATACCGTCAACGGCAATACTTCGTGAGGGTGTAACGAGCCTGCTCGCCTAGGGGTTAATCCTAGACTGAACGGTCGCCGATGGGATCGAGTAAGTGGATCTCGGCTTGAGAACGGGAAGCTACCCCGTGTCTACACTTAAGTAAAACCCAAAGTCCCCTTTATATATTTATATGCACCGCACGAGGGGCTAAACGGGCGGTCGTGCCTTTGAATGACGTAACTCTGAAGTATGCAACTATAACTATTTATTTATCAGGTAAAACTAACTATACAATATACATATATACAATACACTTCTACCTGGGTCCCTGAGATTGTCAGCTGGTCCTGTAGAAGTGGAGTCGAGCGAACACACACGATGCGGGATGGTAATAGGCGGCGTTAAAGCGTGGTAAAGTGCGTAAATCGGATGAGGGCTAAAATGGTCGTTAATCGCGGTTCGAGGATGGTCAAGTCTCAACTGCTCGTTGGGGTCCGCGCGGAGGCTATTGTCCTGTGTGTTCGCTGTCTCCCCTACCTATTGTCTTATTGATAGATGTCCAGTAAGCGTATTTTAGGACGAGTGGTAACGGGGTGTCAAGTGTCCCCGTTACAGCTGCCCTTCCCCTATCGAGGTCTGACCTCAGACCTAAGTTAAACAGAAGTAAAAGTGATTGTTATGCGGGGAGTGGGGAAAAAGAGGAAACAAAAACAACAAAAAAAAAACATTACAAGGGTTCCTGAAAACAAAGGTGCTCGTTATTGCTTATTGATGGCCACTCCTAAAAAACCTCGACCTTTGGCTAATTTCGTTGACATCCATTTCCTAATTTCCCGGATTTTTGAATCCTTGAGGAAACATCCCTCTATACAGTGATCATTCCTATCAGCGCCGTGACGGACTAAGGAATGATCAGCTCTGTCGTCGCTTTCTTGATCAAGCTCGGAGCTTTGAATTGGCCATCTGACTTCTCAAGGTCTCGGAATATGATAAGAGTGGCGGGCCTACTTATTGGCTGTTTAATGTTGTTTACTTGGCTATGCATAAGAATGAATTAGAAAATAGAGATAAAATGGAATTCTTATAGTATGAACAAAATAAATATTACGTTAACCTAATGTCATTGGGGAAAAAGTTGCCAAAAACCAATGACATTCACATATGTAGTTTACTTTAATGTATTATGCAAGCCATATGAAATGCGGGAGATTTCTATGTGTTATAATATGATATACAAAAAAAAAAAAAATCTTAATGATAAATAATAATAATAACTAGTGTGCCTAATATGCTGACCATAGCTCAATCTCAGTGGTTCGTAAAAGGTTAGACCCAGGGTTA